CCTCTCCTCTATCCCTCTTCTATCCGCCTCCCACTCTCTCCCTATTTGTCTCACATATGATGTTTTTCTAGTCCAGGAGAAAAGAACATCAAGAGAAAATTCTGGTAGAGAGAGAGAGAACTCGAGCATTTTGCTGTAGCAGGAAGAGATGTATGGCAACTTCAATATGTGTGGCAACTGTCTCTTTATACTGTTTCAAAAATAAATAGCACACAAATAAATAATAAAACAAATTAACAGTTCTTTAAAAGAGCATTTTAAAAAAACAGCTCTTTGTGAGAGGCAACTTTTTTACAGTGTGGAATGAATGCCACAGAACATGGTGGATGCAGGTACAGTTACAATGTTTAAAATACATATGGATAAGTTGATGAATAGGAATGGTTTGGAGGGATATGGGCCAAGCGCAGGCAGGTGGGATTAGTCGTGAACATGGTTGGTGTAGACTGGTTGGACCGATGGGTCTCTTTACATGCTGTACGATTCTATGACTCTATAAAACAGCTAATTAAATTCAAGTAATGTTTTAGAAGGGAGATAATGCACTCCAATCCCTTGTGGCACCCACCAGTTGGTAAATATCTTAAATGTACCAATAGACACTGCATCCTTTTTCTTCAGCGACAATCAAGCATGAATTTAATGATAGAACAGGGGACAGACAGTCATTTCAAACAATCCCTTAAACACCTTGCGGTATGGACCCATTGTTGGTGATCATAGCCAGGCCCAGCAGCAGGCTAACCAGGAGGTACTGCATCCTGCCCAGTCTGCCCAACTCCACTCTGAATGGATAAAGATCAGGAGCATGGGACTGAAGTGCAAGCAATATTTGAAGACCAGCCCCTTCAAATATTGGGAAAGTGGCTGCAACCAGTCTGAACCTGGAACATGGACTCTTTGAAGCCTGGGAGTCTATGAATCATCTTAATCTTTTGTTGTATTTGGACTGTTGTGTGCAATACCCTCCTCACCAAATTCAAGTGTCTCTACTTCTTTCAGAAACTAAAATAAATTACAACTGAGGGGAATCTCAGTTTTAAAATATATGGATTGACTTTAAATAACATTCTTTACATTTATTAGCCCCTTAAAGGGTCACCGTGACAAAAAAATCCTTTAAAGAAAGCTTACATCTAAATTAAAATAGTATTTTGGGTTAACCTGCACAAAAATAATGAGACTCATAAAACAAACTGCAGGTGCACATTCAGGGACAATCATGACCATTGTTTCTCACATCAGATAAGTATGAGTGAACATCTCTTTGTACACTCTATGTACATGTAGTTATGTACTTGACATTAATGTAAACATTCAACAGATATTTTTTCCTCTCTGAACAAAACCTCTCAAGCAATATTTGAGAATAAATCATGGGAAAAGACAACATTTCCACATACTTTATCAAGTACTACATTACAAAATGCTCCTGTATTAGAGCTCCCAAGAATCTTTTGTATAAGATCCTCTTTTTCGTAAAACAATCAAATATGTGATGAAAATCAAAAGAACCGGGTTCTGAGGAAGGGTCACTTGACCCGAAACGTTAACTCTGATTTCTCTCTACAAATGCTACCAGAAATGCTGAGCTTTTCCAGCAATTTCTAAATACGTGGTCACTTGTATTAAGCTATTAGATCTTGGAGATTTCCTGTTTATTGAACATTTGTTTTAGAACATAATTAGGAGTAGGAGCAGGGTGATCAATCTCTCGAGCTTGCCTTGCAGTTGTAGAAGGTCATGATTAATTTTTCCCCAGGCTCAACTCCTCTTTTTGGCCAACTCCTCACTGCTTTATATAAAACTTCCTGTAGAATCTTTGGCAAATAGAATCTCATAAACTACTGTTTTCACAAGAGCCAGTGTTTTTGAAGCTAAAGTAGTTGAAATAACTCTTTCTGTTTATTTAGCTACTCAGGCTAAGGGATACCCACCAAAAAATGTTATGAAATGTGCTGTACTTAAAGACCCATCAAGAAGATTGGAATAGGTAGCATCACTGAAAATAACTCGTTCTTTGGGTCACCCAAGGATGAAACATGACATCTGCATTTCTCCATTTTCAAAAATGTTTTATTTTTCCTTAAACCATTCTCACCTTTAGGGTGCTTCATCATAGTAATTATTTCCAACACATCAAAGCTAGTATCCAGTCTTGTTTGAGTGCATAACTAATTCAGTTGACCAATCAAGTTTAACAACTATTCTGTTTCTTCTTTAGAGGAGATGTCAACTTTCTGTGATGACCTTGCACAATTAACTAGGAAGGGAAGTGCACTTTCTAAATAGGATTGTTGAATGTCCAGTTACTCCAGACATATTCTGCTGATGTCTAAACTGGAATATTTTAAAAGCCACCGAAACCTGTTTTCTAATCTTAAATTCCACACTAATCTTTTATATCAACACATTTCTCAAATTCCAAAATACCATCCCAGATATATAAAAATATCATTAACATACATGATGAAGATGTTTGGAAGTTTCCTTCTTTGATACCAATAAAACAGAATGAGATATGCCTACTTTCAGCCAAACAGAACTGTTTTGGGTTACCCCAAAATACAATTTTAATTTAGATATGAGCTTTCTTTAAAGATTGCTTTTTGTTGCATTGACCCTTTAAGGGACTGATAACTGTAAATGGTGTCATTTCAAGTCAATCCAATATTTTAAAATTGACATTTCCCTCAGTTGTAATTTATTTTAGTTGTTCAAAGAAACAGAGAGACACTTGGATTTGGTGAAGAGGGTATTAAACACAACAGTCCAAATATAACAGAAAAATACCACAACACTTAAGGCTTTGTTGAGGCCATAAAGCATATTTATCTTGTTTTTATAGCTTCCCTTCTGCATTGCTTGCCTCTTCAAGTAATTTCAGAAACACTGCTGTCTGAATTTTTCACACTGCAGAAATGTGGCTTTTATGTCAATCGATCTACATTCCCACGAATATATGGCCAAAGGAGCTAAAAGAAAAATTCAAGTTGACTTTTCTGGGTGTGAGAGATTCTATTCCCACATGTCTATTGTTTGGCTGCCCTTAAAAATTCTAAATTGCTAACTTCAATTAACTTCAATAGCCTTTTCCATACCAATACACCAATGTGACATTGCTGGCTTTACCCTTACTGATACTAAGAATAACTTCAAATTTCTTCCAACTATCTAATTCCTTTGTTCTGTTGCTCTTATTAGTTTATCCTCTAGTTTGCGGGCAACCACAAAAACGTCACAGTCATGAGGATTTCTGCTTCTTATCTTTCCTCCACTCTGTTATTTCTTTGTGCCATCTATTCAAGCTGTGGCCTCAACTTGCATTTTGATCCCTACTACAGTTAGATTTTTTCTTTATGTTGAGAAACTCTGTCCAGTACGTAGTTATTTACCATTTCAAGAATCACGTTCAGACCAACTATTAGAACTTCACTATGCTTTCATACTTTCTATTCTTTTCTCCTATCCATTGTTATACTCTGCCATTTCCTTGTTAATGATTATTTCATCCCCACTCTCGTCCAGTGTGGAACCATATTTTTCTGTAGGAAGGGAATAGCTATAGTAAAGCAAATACAACTACTTTTTATGGTTTTCTGTAGATCTATTTTATTCCTCTTTATTATTCCTTTGGATATCTGGTTTCAAAGGTTTTCTGAATCTTCTTGCCTATCAGTATCACTTCACCGCATTGTATGCCATTGTTTTCACTTTGATATCATAACTAACTTACTTATACGTCCATGGATGGTTCATTCTTCTCACAGCATCTTCCTTTCTCACTAGGATATATCTGTGGTAATTATGAAGAAACCCCTTAAATATGTGCCATCGTGTATCTGCTGTTTTACCTTTTAATCTATTTTTCCAGTTAATTTAACCAATATTATTTTAATTTAAAACACTGATGTCAAATTTAAATTTCTCACCCTCAAAATGAATGTGAATTCCTTTGTTGTGATCATTCTTCCTGAGAGAATTCTTTGTCATGAGATCATTAATAGATTATTAAAGTTACCAGATATAATACATCTCCCGGGCTGTTTTCACAAGATTTTGGCCAAGAAACTGAGAAAGCAAGTCGAACACTATATTGTGGTGATTGAAACGTGGGGTGAAGGGAATTGAATCATGCAGATGTTGAATTAGCCATTGCAGTCCAAGTGGGGTCGGTACAGCAGAAACAGCAGTCAGTAGTGATGCAGTATCATAGTATGTGATGAATGAGACAAAGCAATGGGTATCAGAGGCTTCTTGGAGTGAATTTAACATTTTTGGGGGTGTCAGCCATTTAGGACAATAAGAGGTAAGCTCTGAAGAAATTACTTCTAGCCCACTACAGTCTGCTAAAGGCAGTTCTCTCAATGATTCGGCTTCTATCATCTCCCAAGATTCCCAAGGCTCTGTTGTGTTCATTACATTTTTTAAAAAACCTTTAAAAAGTACAGGTTGTCAGTATTAATATCACTTCTGACTTTCCAGAAGTGTTGATTGATGGGACCATAAATCTGAAGTTACAAGAAAACACCCTAGGTGTGCATTTAGACAGTGATTGAAAATTGTCTACAGTTGAATATGTTGAACAGTGTAACTGTTTTATTTACTTCACCGTTGACATTGCATTTTCTTTTACAGGATAATCCAGAATTCGATTTGCAGTTTGATAAAGTGTACAAGTGGATTGCCAGTAATCCTGGAGAGAAAAATAATTTCATGTCGTGTCTCTTCAAACTCAATCATCGTTATTTACACAGCAGGATTAAGTTTGTAAACATCAGTTCTCACATACTGGAAGGTAAAATCCACATGTGTAGCTGTCTTTTCTAAGCTTACACTTCTCACAAAAATTTAAAATGCGTTTCACACACAAGTTAAAATTTGCATCCTACCAATATGAGGTATAAAATCAGGCCTATAAGTACCTATCAAATTTTGTAAAATTTGATATCAAGGAGGTATTATATCTGATATTAATATGGAAAAACCAATAGCAGAGAGAAAATGGTCAGATGTTGTATGAAGAACTTAGAGGTGTGTTCAGCATTTCCATCAGTGACATTTTTTCTATATTAGCTAACTCATCATACTTTTATGAGAGCTTTCTGACCAAAATACTGCAATGGTGAGAATCTATATATCACAATCTTGACATCAATATTTAAATAGCCAAACCAAATGTGTAATTTGAAGATGTTGGAGTTGACAAGAGAGGAGCAAATTCTAAATGTTCATAGATTGCACCCCAATTCACTGACACTTCCCTTGATGTGGTAGTGAGGTCTGTAAAGAACTGGAGATACATTCTATTCCCAGTATTGAGAGGAGAAAACTTATGGTGGAAATGAAGAAGGTATGATTGATGTTTTCCAGATGTTAAACAGCAGAACCATAGTGTCACTATGTTCAGTGCAGAGCAAGAAATGATTTAATGACCTAACCTGGTCATGAAAGTTAAGTGTAGTTGTGTATTGGCCTACATTTTGCTATATGCATAAGCCAACTCTCTCATTCTGAATCATCAAGCCGAGTCCATCGTGTCATTCCTCACACCCACTTGTGTTGGATGCACATTGATCTGTCCCTTTCAATATATTTACTCACATCACCCATTAATCATCCAGCAGTGCCATTCAGCCTCATCCTTATGCAACCTTATGCCTATCCTGATAGTAATCCTCATCAAGCACCTATGGTTGAGAGTATTTAATTAAAAGGAGAATCATTGAATAACATCAGATAATATGTCTTTTTATTAATGGATGTTCCAAACGTACAGACCATGTTTTCGGAGAAATTGAAGATGAATGCCTTGACAGTCAATATGCTGTCAGCATGATATGAGGTACAAAAGGCAAAATCCATGCTACATAAATCACAAGATATGGACAACTTTCTTTGAGGTAAATGATGACTGACATTGCTTCACCACTGATTGTGAAGTCCTGTCATTATTATTTGGCACAACATTCTCATCTCATCCATCCTTGTCCGATGAATAGAAAGTCAATTTTTAACCTGAATGTTCAGAAAAAGGTCATCAATTGATAGGGACATGTGCAAAGAGTTCGTTGTTTGTTAGCAGGATTGCTTTTTGTCAGTGGTATTGGGAATGGAAATTGTGACTGTTGCCTCTGCTTGTGACATCGACCCACTAATTACCTCAATGAATCTTCCATTAATAAGGGTATCCCAGACAACAATGTGAACAGCTAGGGTGCATTGTTTTTGTTGCCTTGTTTTTCTGCATTTTCCTCCTACTCACATTTCAAATTTGTAGACAAAAAAAATTAAATACTTCAATTTGTTCTGCCTGCAGATCCAAAACTCATTGCTGTGCAATACTATGTCGAATGCTGCTTGCCATAACCATTCTGTGGCCCCTGACTGGCCCTTACAGAAGGACACCTCCAAAGTTGTCTGGTACCCGAAGCACATCTTTGGCACTCACATATAGTGGTCACTTGGCATTCACTATGTCAGTATAGTGCGATATTGACCAAGTTTTTCATGAATATAATCAGCTAAGTTTGAAGTGAATATCACTTGTGTCCCAACAGCTATTCGGTAAGCATGCTTGTAGGTTAAAAGGCATTGTGGAGCATGGACTAATGCTGAATGAAAGCATCATAACTGCTTTCAGGAAATCAGATGACAATGGGCATTCTTACAAATTGAGACTTATTATTTTCCTCCTACCATTTCAAAAGTACCATTTTGTGAATCACAAAACAAGTTAAGTAGGATAATAATTTCATTCACTTACAGCTAACAAAATGTTTATTTGCAGAGTTAGTGACTGGACACCAAGGACAGACAACATAGTTCTACAGTCTTAAAAGCTGCTACGTTGTAACTTTTGTAAGTTCTGGCCTGGCTAATCTGGACATTAGGTAGAATTTTAGTTCCAGTGTTCTGACCCTGACACTGGGCTGAATTCCAGGTCAGGAACCCAGCAGTGGATATTGTATGGCCCTGGAGGAGAGTTTTGAGGAGGTGACCTCACACTTTTCTGAATTGAATACCATCTGCCATTCTTCAATCTTTACTGTATCCTTTATGTTACCTGAAGACTGTAATCCACACAATGATTGGATTTGAATTGATTTGATTTATGATTGTCACATGTACTGAGATACGGTGAAAAGTGTTGTTTTGTGTATTAACCAGACAAATCATCCCTTATATAAAAGTACCCACTAGGATAATAGAACAGAATGCAGAATATAGTGTTACATCTACAAAGAAGGTGCAAAGAAAGATCAACACTAATTTAAGGGGGGGAAGAAGCTGTTCTTGAATCTATTGGTGCGTGTTTTCAAATTTTGTGTCTTCTGCCCAAAGGAGGAGGGTGGAAGAGACTATAGCCGGGGTGTCATATTTCAACAATTTCTGTATTATCTGCAAACTTATTATGCTATTTCCTACAACCAAATTTAGGTACTTTATTAAGAGTAAAAGACTGATGGACCCTCATCAACCCTTACTGGGGGGATCAATGGGGAGCCATTACTGCAAATTATTTTCCCATCTGAAAAGCATCCATCAGTTGTAGTAACTCTCCTTGACCCTTAGAACAATGGCTATCCGTACTGCTGCATTCTGTTTAGTTACATATATTTCTATCTTCTGAGTACCCTGCAGAGCAGCATTTTGTCCAATGACTTCCCAAAGTCGATCGAGTGCAGTACTTTAATCAGTGTTTTCTGTTACTTCATCAAATAATTTATTGGTAAAGTAACATACACAGTAGATAGAGGAGAACCAATAGACATGGTGTACTTGGATTTCAAAAGGCTCAAAGTAAATGCACATGATGTATAGGGTAATAATAGCATAGATAAAAGATTGGTTAGAAAACAAGGGGCAAAGAGAAGGAATAAATTGGTCATGTTGCGTTGACAAGCTATAACAAATAGAGTGCCAAAGTATATGGTGTCATGATACTATGGCTTTACAAGGTGTATTTTGTACTGTTTTGTTTTATGAAGAAAGGTTGAGATGGGCAGTCTGCTCAAAGCCAATAAAGTAAACTGGGCCTTGAGTTTTTTTTTAAGTTGGAACAATGGAAACATCCTCAATCTGTGGGGTCATGCTCGCACAGAACCAAGATTTTTAGTTTTAGCTTTCTGCAGTTGTTGGAGTCTTGAAGCTGGATGTGGAAGCTCTTATTCATCTCTCTGTTACAGCTGAAAATTGGTGTTCCCTTCCTGCTGCTAGAATTGCATTTGAGACAATTTGGTTTTACTGAATTTGCCTTTGCCAAGGGTGTGTTTATCATATGTTACCATATTGAGACAGTCAATTAGTAGCAGTTGTATATACTATTTTGTTAAGCATTTCGATAAAGTTACAGTTAAGCCAATTATTTTATTTTTGTTTTGTCGTATTTTAACTGTAGTGTAAAAAAACTGTGTCTTACTTAAAATTGATCATTTTGACCAATCGGATTGCTGCTGGAATGCAATGCATTACGTTTACCTTTAAAATAAGAAAAAGTTAGGGTCTAGGCTATTTTCTTAACATATTTTGAGGGTGTTTGGTCTTGTCCATAACAATGGACAGGATGTGGACAGATATAGTGGAATGTGAGATGATGTGAATATGCCCATTTTGGCAGGAAGATTAAAAAACAACATATCATTTAAATAGAGAGACATCGCTGATGGCAGTGAAGAATTTGGACTTGTGCTTTATTGGAAGGAAAATGGAAAGTAAGAGGAGGAAAGTTTTGCTGCACCTGTACGCAACATTTATGAAACCACATCTGAAGTACAATGTATAGTTATGATCTCCTTATTGAAAAAAAGATTTTCCCATTAATTGGCACAATGTTTTTTGAGTGAAATTCACAGCAACCACTGGCAGGAACTTGTGATTTCTTTGGTCTATACAATCATGGCACCATGAATGATATCTGGTACTCACAGCCAGCATTAATTTCTTAAGGGAAAAATGTATGTTTAACTAACTTAGTGGAATGTTTTGAAGAGCAGCCAGAGACAGTTTATGAGAGTAATGCTGATGATGGGGTGTTCGTGTACTTTCAAAAGACATTTGATATAGTGCCGCACAACAGACTTATCTAAAAAGGTTTAGCTCATGATTATAGCTGGAAGAAAGCTTGTCATGGATTCCCCAGGGATTGGTTTAGGGACGATTGTTTTTTTATGATTTATTTTAATGATCTGGCTCTTGGTGTGCAGGGAATGGTTTTCAAGTTTGTGGTTGACACAAAATTTGGAAACATTGCAAACTATGAGAATGACAGTGCAAAATGACAAAAATACATTGATAAATTGGAGTGGGCAGATAGGTGACAGATGAAGTTTAATGGGGAGAAGTGCGAGGTGGTACATGTTAGTAGAGACCTGGATGTATATGTGAATAAAGCATTAAATGTAGAAGGATAGGTAGAGTAAGCAGTTAAGAAAGCATACAGCTTTATTAACAGGGGCATAGAGTACAGGAGCAAGGACATTATTCTGAACTTGTATAAGAGACTAATTAGACCTCTACTGGAGAATTGTTTATAGGTGCCACATTTCAGGAAGGATGTAAATACATTTGATAGAGTGGCATAAGAAGTTTTCATGAATGGTTCCAAAGATGAGAACTTCAGTTATGAGGATGAATTGAAGAACTCAGGACTGTTTGCCTAGGAGAGGAGAAGGCTAAATGGAAATTTGTTAGCTATTTCTGAAATCAATAGGGGGCTGAACAGTGTAGATCAGGAAAAATTGTTCCCTCTCATAAAAGGGTTGAGAATGAGAGGACGCAGATAATTTGCAGAGGTAATTTGCAGAAGAAACAAATGTGATGTGAGCAAAAACCTTTACACTTGGGGAGTAGTTAGAGTCTCAAATAAACTGCATGGAAGTGTGGTATAGGTAGGCTTAATCAAAGAGAACATTAGATAATCATTACAATAGAAACAATATTCAGGGTTGTGGGGAAAAGGCAGTAAAAAGGCACTGAGTCATAATGCTCATTCAGAGAACAAGTGCAGACATGATGGGCCAAATAGCCTCCATCTGCATCATAATAATTCCGGGATTCTGTGATTCCATAGCATTGTGCACCTGCCAATCATGGTAGAGAGTCCAGAGTCCCATACGACTTGATTCTATTTGTCACTGGGATAGGATACAGATACTTGTAATCTACTTTTCAACGTTATACTAAGAAGGACTGTAATGTTTAACTTTTAACTTTATTTCTTTACTTTTTTACACTATACTAGGAGTGACTGTAATGTTTAGCTTTTAACTTTATTCCTTGTTTCTTTCTACCTTGTTCTTAAGTTTTTGTATCTTGGTGCTTGTACCTAGATGGCACCATGTATAGTAACATTGAAAACTTTTCACTGTACTCCTGTACTTTTGTCTAATCTAAATCTAATGTGGAGAAATATGCGTCACTGACATCAGGGAGTCAGGAATTGGGAGATTTCCCACAGTTCACTAATTGCCCTTTGAAATAAGTCACTGGCATAAAAATTCAAGGCCAATGTAACCTGATGGTCATCTATTCCTTCTGAGTGCAAGATCTGCTCCAGCAGATAACGCATTTTGGCGATGGTGGCCCTAGACACCCTTAGACTGTACCAACACTGTTTCATAGAACTGTAGAAAATGATAACAAAGCCTTTAGGTACGATTTCTGGTCATTCACCTCCTCTCTGGGAAAATGTTCATCTGGCTGCTTCTTCCTCTGCAGCAGTCACTGGAGATTTCCGCTCTTGCTGGACTTGATGACAGCATTGTAATTACTCTTTCCTTTGATGCTGCCTTGGACTATGAAGCAATGCCACATGGAATCCTGAAACTGTTATGTCCGTACCAGGTGTGTGAGCCGATAATCTTTGGGGAATGTTAGAAAGACCGACATTTCAGCAATGATATTCCTGAGCCCTTACATCAATCAGAATGAAGTATCACATTATTCTTTGACATAATGTGTCATTCACAAGGCAGCCAATGTTATGCCTTGCTAAGGAATGCTGAGATATGCAACCTTATCCAGATGTATATTGCATAACCAAAGTTTTCATGCTCCATTGGGTGACAGAAATTCTGGCATGAGTCTACAATAATAGCCCCCTTCCCAAAAAAAAGGACAACTTTGAACATCATAGACCATGTCCTTGCATTCTTACTGTTGGAGTGAGTATTTTGGGGGTCTTTGGTTTAATTTTACTATGTTACGAATAGAGAGGTTGAAAGGCTGATTTGGTTGAGCTGTCTGTTTCCATATCGTAACAACAGTATTGAACCATATCTTTGCAGTGAGTGCCAGCTCAGTTCTACAAGCTTAAAACCTGTTCCCATCATTTTTGCCAGGTTTGATAAACAGTGATTGACCTAGAACATCAGGCTGACTTATAGTTACAAAGTCCTCCTCCCAGCAGTGGTACTGACATGGACAGTCTGCCCAGGGACTGCCTTGTACCTAATGACCAGGTTCTTACTCACAATCACATGGATACTTTGTTCCCATGTGTCCAGTTTTTGTTTTACCTTATCCTTCTAAATTTTAGTCCATGCCCTGGTCTCTCCAAGCTATGTTGTCTGCACTTCCAGGTGGTTTGACTTCATAAGGAAGGGAACAAAGAATCAGTTGATGCAGCATGAAAAGAACATGACCTTGCTTTGGCAGCAGTTTGTTTTGACATCTAAGGCCGGTTCAAGCTGGTCACAGATCATCTTCAGTATGTAACCTGGCAGCAGATCCAGGCAATTGACAGCAACATTGTCACAATATATGTCCAGATCCTCCTACCAGCATAGGGAGCTATCCGCAATCGAGTTACTGATTGGCACATTTCAATGTCCAGAACTACATACGAAGAGATCTACTACAGTTTGGGGTAGCTACTACAGAATTTCAGTGGGAAAAGCCACTGTCTCAGACCATCTTGCCACAGCACACTGATTAGAAACTGTATAAAATCAATATATATGACATGAACTGTACATTGTAAATGTAAACTGTAAGTATGGTGAGACACCTCAAACTATAAACTGTATTTAAAGAACTGATCTTGTTTGCATTGCAATTAAAGTCACTTTTAATTGTCATGCAATGTACTTGTATACATTCTGTGAATAAAGTCTATCTTCTGGAAGAAAACATCTTATAAGGAGTAAATAGTGTAGCAAGCATCTGGGCACAGCTTAGGGAAATTCAAGGAAACATTGGTTTTAATCATGAAACATTTGGTTGCATGACGTAATAGAAAGATACAAAAATGTATTGTATTCCAGAAAGTCTGCGCCCTGCAATGGAGCAGCAAGAAGGAGGAGCAATTGCAGTGGAAGAAGAGATCGATGGTTATCAAGAATTGACATCAAAAGAGGCATTTGATATTGAGAAGTTAATGGAGCAATTTGATCAGTCTATTTCCAACTCAGAAGCTTTTGCAGACAAAATGAGTAAAGATCTTCATGTGTTAGATGAGGTAATTATTTTGTAAACTAGCACAAAGAACTGTTACTTTCAATAATTCTACAATGCATGGTTATAAATATGATGTATGAAATTAATTATTGAAATTAATGATCAAACTTTGTGTTCATCATGAATTATAATCCTCACTAGTATAGTGACTAGAAAACCATAACCCAAATATGTTAGCCACTGGCATTACTGGCAATGTTATACAATATTATCATACAAAATGACTAAATATGCTACGAGTATGAGAATGTGTAACACAGTTGTGCACTGATTTGCCATTGTATTCATTTTCACGATTGTCTTGTTATTTAGGATTTGTCTAAAGAATTAATTAAGTTTAAATGTCGGCACAGAAAGTTGCACAAGATTTTCTTACTGTGTTAATTAAACATAATATTCATCCTTAGGCAGTCAGCACATATAGTTCAAATGTTGCATGTTTCTGAGTTAAGAATATGGATGTATTTGAATTTTGGGTGTTCACTATGAAAAAAAATTGAAGGTGGGTCCTGAGAAATTATTATAGAAATAGACTTCATCCCTAAAGAACCGTTTTTTTTACAGTAGGTTCTACTACAGTCTGAATTGTTCTAGTACTTCGATTTCTGAAGGCCTGTGCAAAAAAAAAACAATTTACACTAAGCAAAGTATATCAAGCTGCATTTTGTGAAACTGTTTTACACACAATAGCAATTTTAAAGGCAGCTTCAGAGTTCTAGACATACTGAAGAATATTGAACTAATGTTTAGTATTCAACCAGCAACACTTAGTTTACTGTAACTGCTTAGCCTTGTTAGCTGCAATGGAGGCAGAAACTTAAAATGTTAAATATTTTGGCTTTATTCTATTGCAAAGGAAATACTTGCACATGCTAAACTGTATTATCAGTGAAGAAACAATACCACAGTAGACTAGAAATAGATTATGCACTGTTTGTACATAGTCCATCTCTTGTTTCTTTCTTCTTTATAACAGGTAGGTTTTTTTTTAGAAACCTTTCATCTCATCTTGAAGCTCCATTTAAAACTAGATGCAATATTGAATGTGTACTCAGATTACCTATTCCATACAGTTCTAACAAATTTCTAATTGAAAATTTTACTTACTTTTAAAATTGTCCAATGGTTATGGTAGATGTTCAAAATTATACAAGAATTTGATGTTGCAATTAAATCATCAGTTCATTCACTATGAAATAGGGAAGACGTGAAATAATTACTGTTTTTCAGTAAAATACAATATCTTTATCATCCAAAATGTATGTGGCTGTGCGTACATGTTTCCAATCACAGTATACATTATAGATTGTGTAGGTACAAGTAACTGTATTATGTTTGTACTTCAGGCAAACATACAATCCATCATTGTGTCTGAGAAGCAAGTAACTGAAATGATGGAACTGATTGATGTGGCTCTTGTTGAAGTGAAGAACATTGAGCAGACCCTTCAAACTTATGAAGAGTTGCTGCAGAGTGTTAAAGAACAGATGGATCATATTCACCAAAGCAATTACCAATTACAAGTCATTGATTGTAACCAACAAAAACTTTTAGAGGAAGTCATTTTTCTTGTGGTAAGCAAATCATGTCAGGTAAGAGAGCTAGTAATGATTCAATGAGTTAGTAATTTGAAAATTATCTACCATATCTGGATATATGTATGCCTGTTTTCTCTTTCTCCTGCTGTAGCCAGTAAATTATTGACTCTAATTATGGTTCTGTGGTATACGAAAGACCAATAAATTGCTTGAAGTCTTCAAAAGCTGTTGTCAAAATATAAAAATTAGGTACTGTCATTCTATCACAAAAATAAAATCGTGACCAATGTGAAATGAAAAGCCAAGTTTTTCATTTTTGTCTTCTTAATTATTCAGTTTCTGAATTATTTATTTCTCTTATCGAAGATTTGAGCCTGTTTCCGACTCGGATCTGGCAAAAAATACACTCTTGCCTTTGAAGGAGTTATACGTTCAAATTTCTGATCGAGAGCCTTCATGGCTAAAGCATTCTAGACCATGCTAGGAATCCATACAACCAGTAGCAACATGGATCATATTGAAACCCCTCTTTTATCACGAGCTGCCATGTTCCAAGAGTTAGAACCCTGAAAGCCAACTTGACAACTACTGAGAGAAGTGTATAAATTAAATGGATGAGGGCTACAGGTGTCATGTTGGCAGTTGGGTCAATAGCAGGGATAGGCAGGAATTGGATCCAGTGCTGGTTTGAGGAATCAGGTCAAGTTAGGTTCGTGGGAAGTATCAGTGTGAGTGATTGTGAGTTACTTTTATAGTTACCCAGTAGCTATGCTTATGTTTTATTCCATCCTTTTTCCTGGTTCACTGGTCAGGCCTGTTAGTTAGTCTTCAACTCTGACTCAGAGTTGGGACCTTTTGGAGGCTTCAAGTACAGGTTAATTGCCCATTGAAAATTTAAACATCCATGAAAATTCCCACATTAGCATTACGATGGGATTTCTGTATAAACTCGACACACATTGTCCAAGGCATGTCTGACCTCCGATTATCTGGACACCGGGAGATCTGGGTCAGTAATTGTGAGAAAATGATCAGACCCAAGAGGTTGAACTTGACAGAATTCATATGCTGCTTCATTAAAACATAAGAAAAGGAGCAGGTGAAAAACATTCAGCTCTTTGAACCTGCTTTTGCCATACAAGAATTGAGAGCAGGGATAGGCCATTTAAACCATCCAATTTGCTCAGCCATTCAATAAGATCATTTGTGATCAAATTGTGACCTTAATTCCACTTTCAAGTCTGTATCCCTCGACTCACGTGCTCAAAAATCTGTCTAACTCAACTTTGAAAAAATGTAATGAACTAGTTAACCCCTTTCCAAAGACTAATCTCCTTCTAAAAGGAGAAATTTCTTTTCATTTCTGTTTTAAATGGGAGACCCCTTATTTTAGAAGTGCACCCCCATTCCCTCATGAATGGAAACATTATCTCAGTATTTACACTGTGAAACCCCCTAAATATTTTATACATTTCAAAAAGATCACCCTAAGTGTATCTAAGTTTAATAAACAAAGATGTAGCCTATTCAACCTTTCCTCATAAGATAACCCTTTCACTCCAGGAATCAGCCAAATGAACCTTAAGTAAGGAGACCAAAATTGTATACAGTACTCTAGGTGAGCCTCATCAATGCCTTGTACAGATGAGGGAAGACTTCCCGTTTTTTATACTGCAAACCTCCCCTTTCAAAGAAACATCAGCATTCAATTTGCCTTCCTAATTATTTGCTGCACCTAGATGCTAACTTTTGGTGATCGATGTACAAATACACCCAAGACCCCTCTCTACCACATCATTTGACAGTCCCTCACCATTTTTGGACATTTTCCTATAGTATAAATCATCTATTAATATTTTTCCACTCACTTAACTTAACTAGATCCCTCTGCAGCTCTTTGCGTCCTCCTCACAACTTGCTTTCTTACCCACCTTTGTATTGTTGGTAAATTTGGCCCCTTCACCAAGTCATTAATATAGATTGTGTTACAATTCCAGCTGATGTTATTACTTGACAAGTCAGATCCCAGACTAAAATCTAGCGTGATAGCTCCCGATGTGGCCTCCTTTATAGCGGTGAGACCAAGCGTAGACTCGGAGACCGTTCCACAAAGCATCTGCGCTCTGTACGCGACAAACAACAGCACCTTTCGGTCACCAACCATTTTAACTCCCCCTCCCACTCCCTGGGTGACATGTCCATCCTGGGTCTCCTCTAGTGTCACAATGACACCACTTCATATTCTGCCTTGGGAGGCTACAGCCAGATGGCCTAAATGTGGAATTCACCAGTTTTAAAATCTTCCCACTCCCGGCCTCAAATGTTCAACCCTCCCTCTCATCCCGGCCTTCTTGACCTGACACAACCTGTCCATCATCTCTTCCACCTATCCACCCCACCCATCCCACTGACCAATCCCCACCACTTGGCTGCCTGCACTCACTTATCACCATCCGACCTACCTTTCCCAGCCCCACCCCTCCTCGTTCTATTTATTTCCCAGCTCCCTTCCCCCTCCTCATTTGTGAAGAAGGGTCTTGACCGGAAACATCAACTTTCCTGCTTCTCGGATGCTGCCTAGCCTGCTGTGTTCCTCCAGCTCCACACTGTGTTGTCTCTGACCCCAGTATCTGCAGTTCTTGCTATCTTTCTTGATAGATTATATTATGTTTTAACAAGGTAGACTCTGCTTTCTACCACAGACGTGCTACATTTGCAGTTTACTAATCTGCTTGGACCTTTCCAGAATCTAGAGAATTTTGGATGGTTACAGCCAATGCATCCACTATCTCTGCAATGTTAAGACCATACTCTGGGCAAGGTTTCAAATGTGTTACAATTCAAAGATGAGATGTTCCCAAATTGTTAAACTCCCAGGTGAGAAGGGATGAAGTGCTCCCCTTCTTTATTCACCCACTTCTTCAGCTGGTTGCAGTAAGGTTAATCTAAAAGATATCCCTTCACTTTTGCCCCAGATCCAAATGAGCTTATGTTTTAAAAGTAGCCAATTTGACCAGCTTTCCTGGATTAACAAAAAAAGGAAGACTGCAGAAAGCTACAAAGGAATTTGGGATTTCTTGTTTATAAATCACAAAAAGTTAGCGTACCTAAGTTCATCAGATAATGGGGAAGGCAAATAGAATGTTGGCCTTTATTTCAAAGATAATGGCATATAAAAACAGGGATGTCTGAAAAAAACTACAAGGCACTAGTCAGATCACAACTGAACAGTTTTGGACTCCTTATCTAAGAAAAGATTAGTAATAATGGAGGCATTCCAGAGAAAGTTCACTGGGTTGCTCCAAATTATGGAAGGTCTGTCTTATGAGGAGAGGTTTAGTAGGTTGGGCCTGTACAAATTGGAGTTCAGAAGAACGAGGGACAACTTTATTGAAATATACAATATTCTTAGGGGACTTGACAGGGTAGATGTGGGAAATTCTAGGAATAGAGGGCATAATCTCAGAGTAAGGGGTCACCCATTTAACGCAAGTGAGGAGGAATTTCTTCTCTCTGATGGTAATGAATCTGCCACATTCTTTACTGCAGAGGACTGTTGTGGCTGAGTTGTTGAATATATTTTCGGCTGAGTTGAACAGACTTTTGATCAGTAGGAGAATCTGGGTTATGTAGAAACTGCAAGAATGTGGACGTAAGTATTATCAGATCAATCATGATCTCATTGAATGGCAGAGTAGGCTCATTGGGCTGAATGGCCGACTTCTGCTCCCATGCCAGCCAAAAGTACAGAAACCTGGTCCATGCTTTTTGTTAACTGAGTCTAAAAAGTGGTGAATTGGAGAATTTTGCATGCTTTGACAAAATCTTTAACTTATATGATGACTCCAAAAACAGTGAGGCTTGATTTCCAGTAGTTTCAGGCAGGTCATTGCTGATATCTGTAGCCTCCTGGAAGGAGTCTTCCTTCATCATGGATCAGTTTTGTATATTATTGCCCAAAACCATCAAGGTGACTGTTACTGAAGGAGCATAGCCCCATCTTTGGTTTCGGCCTCTCCCTGAGTTTGTGTGCTTTCATCTGCAAGTAATAAGTATTAGAAATCGATTATTTGGAGAGGAGGGAATGTTTGTGGATGATGACTATGGGACATGGATTGAGATGAGGCAAATATGAAGGGTAGTGTGAGCAGTTTGGGATGTGAAGAGGTACCTGGAGAAAGAGGAATGAGTGTGTGTTGTTTAGAATGCTGCTGTCCAGGAGATTGTGCGAAGGACAGAATACAGGACTTGGCATCTGACAGTGTTGTGCCACTTACATTTCCTGCTCTCCTGAAGTCCTTTGATCCTTTTACTGCATGGTCTGCAGTTGGGAGAGACTAAACTGTTCTGCTGACTTCCTTGCATATTCACATACACATCTAATAGTTAGAGTGGCAGTTTCTTGAACCTAGCTTCGAGAGCACTCTACAGTAAAGAATCAATAGATTCACTGAACATTTGGCGAGCATTATCTTAGGTCAGTACTCAGATTCTGCAGCAGCACCTGAGTGAGAATGAGAGACCATGCTGAGTAACAGCTTTTATGGCTGCCAGCTCCTTTCCTGTGGTTGCTGCAGCCTCAAGAATTCATGTTATGGTCAATGATTCTGACCCATATTATGTCCCTTTAATTATAAATCCTTCCTTTGTCATATTCAGTATGTGAACTTGTCCACGCTTTCTGATCAGTCAGGGGCCGTAGCAAAGCCCTCATCTTTGACACATGGGTTCCTGACCTTCCTGCTGCATATGGGTCAATTACCTTAAACATCCAGAATATTTCAAGTTGGGGAATAATGAAAACCACACTAAATTGAATGTTTGTTTTTTACAATCTGAATTCTTCATGCAACATTGGGGCATATCATTAGCTTAATTTAAAAGCAGGATGAAGGTCATAAACCTCAATGTCAGCAGGATTGCGAGCAGGGATACTTATACTAACTTTCTGGTCCATCACGCAATAACACAATCCTTTCTATTATTATTCAATGATTATCTGATGTAAGCTCAATCATGCATTGGTCAATTTAATGTTACAATATTTGATGTGAATATTTTGATTGGTTCTTTAAAATAATTGTTGTTATTCTGATAGCACAAATTGGACCTTGATAAAGAACATCAACATGCATTAAGAAATGGTGATCTGTGCACACCTGAGAATTCGCAGTCTTGCATTGTTGCTGTTGAAGCTCTGAATAATTGCATGAATGTTAAGTTATTTCCAGGTATGGCTATATTTTCTCTCTTCTGTTGTTTACCTTTTATGTAGCTTAAAGCTGTCATAGGTGCTTCAGCTATTCTACATTTGAGTTGTATTACTGCCATTTAAACTGCTTTTCACCACTTTCAAAATCAGAAACCGTCTTGAGGCAAGATGGGTCTGTCTCAACTTTGCTCATAGCTGATAACAACTTTTCAAAATGTGGTAAGTTCACTAATGTCCTTTAGGGAAGGAAATCTGCCTTCCTTACCTGGTCTGGCCTACATGTGATTCCAGCCACACAGCAATGTGGTTGACTCTCAGTTGCCCTCTGAAATGGCTTAGCAATCCATTCAGTTGTACCAATTGCTACAAAGTCTCAAAAGAATGAAACCAGACAAATCACCAGGCAATGGCAGAAACAGTTCTGTTGACCGTACAAAGTCCTCCTGACTAACTTCAGAGGGCTAGAGCCAAAATTGGGAGAGTAGTCTCACAGGCTAGTCAAGCAACAGCCTGACCTAATCATACTCACAGAATCATACCTTACAGACAATATCCCAGAGAACACCATCACCATCCCTGAATATGTCCTGTCCCATTGGCAGGGCAGATCCAGCAGAGGTGGCGACACGGTGTTATGCAGTCAGGAGGGAATTGCCCTGGGAGTCCTCAACGTTAACTCACAGACCTGATGAATTCTTGTGACTTCAGGTTAAACATGGACAAGGAACCTCCTGCTGATTACCACGTACTGTACTGCCTCTGCTGATGAATCAGTACTCCTCTATGTGAACAACATTTAGAGGAAGCACTGAGGATGGCAAGGGCACAGAATATACTCTGGAGGATTTCATTGTCCACCACAAAGAGTGGCTTAGCAACAATACTACTGATCGAGCTGGTTGGGTCCGAGCTGCTAGACTGGATCTGCAGCAGATGGGAAGGGAACCAACAAGAGGGGAAAAACATACTTGTCCTCATCCTTACCAATCTGCTGGCTGCATGTGCATCTGTGTGTGATGGTATCCGTAAGAGCGACCACCGCACAGTCCCTATGGAGGTGAAGTTCCACCTTCACGTGCTAAATGGGACAGACTTCGAATGGATCTAGCAACTCGAGACTGGACATCCATGAGTTGCTGTGGGTAGAATTGTACTCCAGCATAATCTGTAACCTCATGGATGGCATATCCCCCACTCAACCATTACCATTAAGCCAGGGGATGAACCTTAGTTTAATGGAGAATACAAGAGGGCATGCCAGCAGCCGCACCAGGCATACCTGAAAATACGGTGTCAACCTACTGCAACTGCCAAACAGGACTACTTGCACGCCAAACAGCAAAAAGCAGCAAGTAATAGAGCAAAGCAATCCCACAACCAGTGATCAGATCTAAGCTCTGAAGTCCTGCCACATCCAGTCATGAATGATGGTGGACAATTAAACAGCTGGAGGAGGAGGATCCACAAATATTCCCATCCTCAAAAATGGAAGAGCCCAGCACATCAGTGCAAAAGGTAAGGCTGAAATATTCGCGACAATTCTCAGCCAGAAGTGCCAAGTGGATGATCCACCTCGGCCTCCTCCAGTGCTCCTGAGCATTACAGATACCAGTTTTCAGCCAATTCAGTTCACTCATTGTGATATCAAGAAACAATTGGAGACATTGAATACTGCAAAGGCTACAGGCCCTGACAACATTCCAGTAATCGTGCTGAAGCACTGTGCTCCAGAACCACCCTCTCCCCTAGCCAAGTTGTTCTAGTACAGTTACAACACTGGCGTCTACTTGACAATGTGGAAAATTGCGTAAGTATGTTCTGGACATGAAAAGCAGGATAAATCCAATTCAGCCAATTACTGCTCCATCAGTCTACTCTCGATCATCATTAAAATGATGGAAGGTGTCATCAACAGTGCTATCAAACAGCACTAGCTAAGCAGTAACCTGCTCAGTGATGCCCACTTTGGGTTCCGCCAGTGCCACTCAGCTCCTGACCTCATGACAGCCTTGGTTCAAACTTGGACAAAAGAGCTAAATTCCACAGGTGAGGTGAGAGTGACGGCCCTTAACATCAAGGCTGCGTTCGACCAAGTGTGGCATCAAGGAGCAAAACTGGAATCAATGGGTATCGGGGCAAACTCTCTGGCAGTTGGAGTCATAACTGGCAGATAGTCTTGGTTGTTGGAGGTCAGTCATCTCAGCTCCAGGACATCTCTGCAGGAGCTCCTCAGGGTTGTGTCCCAGGCCCAACCATCTTCAGTTGTTTCATTAATAACATTCCGACTCCTGAAATACTGAAGCAGTCCATGTTCAAATGCAACAAGATGTGGACACTATCCAGGCTTGGGCTGACAAGTGGCAAGTAACATTCACGCCACACAAATGCCAGGCTATGACCATCACCAATAAGAGATAATCTAACCACGGCCTTTGACATTCAATGGTGTTTCCATCACTGAATATCCCACCAATATGCTGGGGGTTATCATTGACCAGAAACTCAACTGGACTCGCCACATAAACATAGTGGCTACAAGATCAGGACAAGAGGCTAGGGATACTGTTGTGACTAACTCACCTTCTGACTCCCCAGAACTTTTCCATCATCCTCAAGGCACAAGTCAGGAGTATGATGGAATACTCCCCACTAGCCTGGATGAGTGCAGCTCCAACAACATTCAAGAAGCTTGACACCATCCAGGACAAAGCAGCACACTTTATTGGCACTAGCATCCACTCCCTCCATCACCAACACTCAGTAGCAGCAGTGTGTACTATCCACAAGATGCAATGCAGAAATTTACCAAAGATCCACAGACACCACCTTCCAAACCCCACGACCCCTTCCATCTCAAAAGGCGAGGGCAGCAGATACATGGGAACACCACCATCTTCAAGTTCCCCTCCCAGCCACTCACTAACCTGACTTGGAAATATATCACCATTCCTTCACTGTGGCTGGGTCAAAATTTTGGAATTTCCTCTTGAATGGCATTGTGGGTCAACCCACAGCAGGTGGACTGCAGTGGTTCAAGAAGGCAGTTCACCAGCACCTTCTCAAGGGCAACTAGGGTCAGCCAATAAATACTGCCCAGCTAATGACATCCACATCCCACAATGAATTTTTTAAAAAATCATAGTTCCAATTTGTTCTTCAACATTAGATCCTTGTTTGATTATTTTAAAACCAGTTTGGGAGAACTGAGAGATGTAGTGAGCTAATTCATAAATAAATCCGTGAAGCACTTTGAAACAAGTTGACGTTGACAAAGATGTGGATAAATGTATTTCTGTCCTCTACCTCAGTATTTTGTTGAGTAGCTTTCTCTTCTATCTGACCTGGGAATGTATTTTTGTCTGCATTCCTTGGCCCTTACCTCGACGAATATACTTTTAAAAAAAAAAGTGAACAAAGGCTAAGAAACCCCAGGCCTTTGGCCCTTATTTGCATAATGATATCTATACTTGGTCAAGGCAACAATGGATATTCCACATTTGTCTTAGGCAGCAGTTGACTAAGTTGTGAGAAAAATTAAGAGTCCTTTATCCTGATTTGGTCTTGCAGTGCAAAGAGAGTGACCCTACCTCTGGACTAGAAGCTCCAGGTTCAAGTGCCCTCTCAGGACTTGATAGCCACAGGTGTATAATAACATGGCTAAACAGATTGGTTGTCAATATGCAAGTCCTTCTGATACACCAATGACAAGTGGCAAGATCTAAAGAGTTCCATGGTTAGCCAGTACTATGTGTAAGTCCAGCTAACAGCCTTCCTACGTTAAAAGATTCCATGCACAAGTTCTTATCTTGAGAATGTGTCATTCTTGTTCCAAGAAACTACCACCCACCACACACACACTCCTGATTGATATCGACAGTTGAAAAATGTGGATGTTAGGACTGAATCGTGATACATCTAATGGCTTAATAATTTGTTGATGATCATCAGTTGACTGCCTGGTTGATATTACTGTTTTTTGAGACACTAAAGGTTATGTACATTAGTAGAACTGCACACCAAAATATACCCCAATCCTCTGAAGTTTTAAAGAAAACCAGCAGAATTTTTTCTAACATAATTTATTTTAACCATTTATTTGCTTAATGTACACAATAAATCAGTGAAGAATCTTTTTAAAAAGTAAGAAATTTTGGTTAAACATAAGGCAGACTGTTACTTTTGCGGAGTGATTAACTGTTCCCTAAAGAGGATCACTTTCTGAGTTTTATCTATGTGGCACTAGATTTTTGAGGAATACCTACATTAGTAAGTACAACATTTGATTGGGATAGATATTTCAAGTTAGAAGAGATTTAATTTACCTTTCAAAGATGGCGTATTTTTAAAATATTTTGTAGGTCTGCTAAACAATGGTTCTGCTGGGTATAGAGTAGCTGGCCAAACCAAACACTGGTGAATAAAATCCGGATTAGATGCAGCATTTTGAGGTGGTACAGTACTTAGCTCAAGGAGGCATCTGTGGCTTCAGGAGCCCAAGCAAAACTGGAATCAATGGAAACTGGGGAAGATCTCTGGTTGAAATCATCCCTGTCACAAAGGAAGATGGTTGTGGTTGTTGCAGGTCAGTCATCTAAGCTCCAGGAGTTTCTCCAAGAGTTCTTCAGGATAGTGTCCTTAGCCCAACCATCTTCAGCTGCTTCATCATGGATTTTCCTACGGCATAATGTCAGAAGTCAAAATATTCACTAATGATTTCATAATGTTCAACACCATTCTGAACTCGTCAGATACTAAACTAGTCTATGTCCAAATTCAGCAATATCCAGGTTTGAGCTGACAAGTGGCAACAAACTTTTGTATCACATAAGTGTCAGGCAATGACCATCTTCATGAAGAGAGAATCTGCCCATCACCACTTGTCATTATCATCACTGAATTCCCCACTATCAACATCCTGAGTGTTACCATTGACAAGAAAATAAACTGGACCAGTCATAAAAGTACTATGATTTCAAGAGTAGGTCAGCAGCTTGAAATCCTGCAGTGATAGCTCAACTCCAGACTCCCCAAAACCTGCCTAGAAGATATGAAAGGAATTTAATGGGATACTGCCCACTTATCTCAATGAGTGCACCTTCAATAACATTCAAGAAACTTGACACCATCCAGGACAAAGCAGCCCATGTGATTGGCACCGCATCCACAAACGTTTACACTCTCCACCAACAAGGCTCCTTAGACAACATCTTCCAAACCCATAACCACTACCATCTAGAAGGACAAGGGCAGAAAATTCAAGGGCACACCACTACCTGTGTGTTTCCCTTCAAATCAGTTACCATCATGACAGAAATATATCACCATTTATTTAGTGTTGACTGGTCAAAAACCTGGAACTCCCTCCTTTAACAGCATTTTGGGTGTTCCTGCACTAAATAGACTACAATGGTTCAAGTAGACAGCTCACAACCATCTTCTCAAGAGCAGCAAAGGATGAGCAATAAATGCTGACCCAACCAGCATCCCATGATTGAATAAAAGAAACATAGTTGAGATTATTAATTTTGACTATTTATAATATGTTATCTACGTGCACCTTTTGCTTTATTGTTTTGGGATACAATTTTGTTTGGATATGAAATCATATGACCTCATGCAAATTATTTCCACTTTTCCTTAAGTTTAATTTTTTGTACCTTCCCACATTCACAGGCAGAAATGCAGACAAATTATCAATAACCTCCTGTTTTTACTGCTTGCATTCTTCTTACTTGGACAGAATTCCAGCAGTGACATTTTCACACTTATGAATAGGAGCTGACACTTCAATTGTGGTGGAAGTAAAGCCAGGTTTTTGCTGATTTGTATCTCCATTGTTAGTATCACCGTAGATAGGAAAAATCGTGTAAGCTAGTTTACCAACTTTCCCCATTTTTGAAACACCCAAAGTAGCAATATCATACTTTCCACTGGTATCAACAACTTAACCTGGTGCTGGTCAGGATCATTGTGTGCTCATCACAGACGATATTGTTATTAAAACTTTGCAAAGTGGAACATAAGCTGTACTATATAATTGTATATAAACTGTAATGCAGTACAAGCTGATAAGACCATAAATTCTAAACCCTAAATAGGTAACCCTAAATAGTGATTCTTCATAATGATCTATTTTTACTATTTCACCTACACAAGAGGAAAATGAATCTTCCCATTTAACAGCAGCTGTAGTTTGAAGATTTTTAGTAGACAGTTATGACAGCATCATGTTATTCAGACAAGCAATGCTGTAAGTTGATGTTTAACTTAAAGTTTTGGCAAAAATCTGTAACACGGGTTGTAGATGAGGTTGTTGACTTGCTCGCTTGTTTGTTTTTGTTCAGACGTTTCGTCACCATGCTAGGTGGACCCTCCGATGAAGCAGTGTTATTCTACTTTGTTTGGAATTTATGCTGTCCAGTCCATTATGGTGAGTACTGTCATTTCCGGTTTTGATCTGTATGGGTTTGTATATGGGGTCCAATTCTATATGTTTGTTAATTGAATTATGGATGGAGGACCATGCCTCTAGGAAATCCCACGTGTGTCTGTGTTTCACTTGGGCTACTATGGTTATTTTGTCCCAGTTAAATTGATGGCCTTCATCGTCTGAATGTACCGATATTTAGGCGAGTTCCTCATGCCGTTTTGCTGTTAGCTGATGTTCATGTATTCTGATGGCTAGTTTCCTTCCTGTCTGTCAGATGTAATGTTTGTGGCAGTCATTGCATGGTATTTTGTAAACGACGTTTGTTCTGCATGTTGTGGGAATGGGGTCTTTAATCCTTGTAAGTGTTTGTTGTAGAGTGGCTGTGGGCTTGTGGGCCACCATGATTCCTAGTGGTCTTAGGAGTCTTGTTGTCAGTTACTATATGTTCTTGATGTAGGGCAGTGTGGCCAGTGTGTTACGTCATACTGTGTCCTTCTGTTGTTGTCTGTTTTGTAGACATCTGTGGATGAAGTTGCGGGAATATCCGTTTAAAGCGAGGATCTTGTACGAGTGTTCTTCCTCTTTCCTGCGTATTTCTGGAGTGTTGTAGTGTGTCCTGGCCCATTTAGATAGTGTCCTAATGCAGCTTTGTTTGTGGACATTGGGGTGGTTGTTGTGGAAGTTGAGGTACGTAGACAACACATTTGTCATTCTTAAATGCAACAAATTAGAAGAGACCCACCACATCATCAACAGCATATTCCCAGGGATTAAATTCACAAGGGAAGAAGAAAACAACAATCAACTTCCGTTTCTGGATGTTAAAGTCGAGCGATGGACAAACAGGGATTTCCAAACCTCAGTATACAGAAAAGCAACCCTTACAGATCAAACCCTCAACTTCCACGGCAACCACTCACAACATGTAGAACAAACGTGGTTTGCAAAATAGCATGCAACGACTACCACAAACATTACCGTAGACAGACAGGAAGGAAACTAGCCATCAGAATACATGGCTAGCTCGTGCAGCAAAATGGCACGACGAACTCTCCTTAATATCGGTACGCTCAGACAATGAAGGCCATCAGGCCATAACTGGGATAAAGTAATCATAGTAGCCCAAGCCAAACATAGACATGCACGAGAATTCCTGGAGGCATGGTTATCCCCCCATACTTCAATCAACAAACATATAGAATTGGACCCCATATACAAACACGTACAGATCAAAACTGGAAATGACAGAACTCACCATAACAAACCGGACAGTATAAATTCCAAGCGGAGTAGAATAACGTCGCTTCATCGGAGGCTCCACTGATGATGTCACCTAGCATGGTGACGAAACGCCTGAACAAAAACAAGCCAGCTCGGCCAGCAATTCAATGACCTCAGCTGATGTTTAATATTAGAAGCTTGTGCCTAGCACTTATTTTTAATCTAGAGTTTGCGTCAAAAAGAATTAAAGTTAGTAAGATAATTGTGAAACCAAATTATTTGTACATATAGTTATCAACAGTATTCAACTTCACTTTAAAATTCTGGTTTTATTAGGCCATCGGAAACTGCAAGGTGTGGTGGAACAATTAATAATGTTTGAAAACTTACGGCAGCAATTTGAAAGTCGATTCATACGGCATATTAATTCTTTATTTGTACTACAGGTAAGTGCACTGCTAAATAATATTGCTGGTTGGTTTCTTGTGATAGAATCTGATGACAAAGACTTTATAAAGCTTACTTTGTTATAAGCAATAGTTTCAAGAGTATATTATTGTTCATTTGTCCATATTTATTTTGGAGAGAGTTCATCAGATGAAAGCAAACCAAATGCGTTGAGAATGATTTCTGTTCTGTTGGCTGCATCAGAATATCATCTTTACCTAACGTTTCTTTACCAAAGTTGATTAGATGCAGATGTGGTGGTAAGCTCTTCACAAACAATCTGGGAACCATTTTCTTTCTTTTCTGTTAATAATGAAATGAAATACAAATCCCTATTTTGCTTTTACTGAATAATTCCAAATCCAAATGTTTAGTCAGTAATCCATGTCTAACTGCAAACAGCATGATTAAGTCTCCCATGTCAAATATTCAGCATTAAAATATTCTGATAAGTCCCTGAATGTTTTCATTATAATTTGGAAAAACTAAGATTAGATAATCAGTGTTTATTCAGTTCTAGTTATAGCATTGATTCAAGCTGACAAATTGATTTGACATATGAGTTTATTATGGCATGTTAAGCAACAATGTTTGCTGGTTGCAGGAGACTTTTTGCATTCATGAACCAAAGTATTAAATGTGATAGACTAAGACCTGTCTTTTTTTTAATATTTATTGGATGTTTTGATCGACTTTTTTCCCTCTTGTTAAGAGTTTGGCTCTTATTTGATATATGGTTTCAAAAGTATTGATTACCCTGCAGTAGCCGAACAAATTGGGCATTATTCATGAGAGATAAATTATTCTAGGATATTGTCCATTGATGCCAGCAGCCATGATTAATGGCTCAGCCTCATGAATGTCATAATATTATCTATTTGTAGATAGTTTAAAACACAGGTTGGTGCATATCTCTCATGAATAGGAAATATGAATGATTGTTTTACTTGCCCACAGAAATGCTGTTCCAAATTCATTTGTTGTATCCCTTTAAATTCCTTTACTGAAATCAACTAACTTGGTATATGTCAAGACTTCAAGTTCCCTTGATCTGTCTGATATAATACAATATAGCACAGGAACAGGTCCTTCAGCCCAACATGAAGATTCCTAATCCTTGTTTAGACCCGCTACTTATTGCCCATACACGGTTTCTATCTCTGTATTTCAACTCCCGTTCATGTGCCTATCAAGGTACACCTTAAATATTGCTCATGTGCCTGCTTCCACCACCTCCACTGACAGTCCGTTCCGGGCATCAACCACCATCTGTGTGAAAGGTTTTCTCTGCACTTCTCCCCTAAACTTTCCCTATCTCACCTTGAACCTGTGCCATCTTGTAATTGACCTTTCCACCCTGGGAAAAACCCTCTGAATACCCACCTTATCTTTGCCTCTCATAATTTTGTAAACCTCTATCAGGTTGCTCCTCAGCCTTCATCTTTCCAGTGAAAAGGATCCGAGCTTATTCAATCTCCCCTTGAAACGAAAACCCTCCAGACCATGCAACATCCTGGTAAAACCTTTTCTGCACCCTCTCCAAAGCATCTATGTTCTTCTGGTAGTGTGGCGACCAGAACTGCATGCAATATTCCAAATGTGGCCTAACTAAAGTTTTATACAGCTTAATTTAAAAAAAGCCAAATACCTTATTTATCCATGAATAAACATGTTACTTATTTGATTGTGTTTTTTTTTCTTTTGGAATGTTCATTCATACAATTGTTTAGTTTGGCTTGAAATATTTGAAAATCCTGGAAGGGGTCAATTAAGTGTCTTAATTTCTGTTGCTAAATGTATTAGAGCCTTAAAAATGCTATTTCCATTGTGTTTAAGGGAAATGACCAAAACATTGGCTTGCTGCAACAATCGGGAGAGCTAATTTTTCCCAAACATAATATTTTTCAAGATGAATTATTGCCATATAGCCCTCTAATGGCTTGGATTAAAAACAACAGCCCTGCTATTTTTACTGATCTATCAAAGGTATGTTTCTTGGCTATTAGAAAAAGGTTTGGAAGATGTATGGACTGGGAATCATTTTTGATAGTGTTGATGCATGATTGTTCAATTTAATTCCCTGATGTTTTTGACTTCCTTAATTGAGACGTTAACTTCTTCTCTGAACAAGTTGGTTTGAAAAATAGGTTAATAATTTCATTTAAAAATTAAGCTGGTTTGGCAATCTGCTTTTGGAGGGGAGGAACACAACATCAGTAAGCAAGGACTGTAAGATCAAATCCAATCTGTCCAATGAAGGGTGATATAGTGGCTCTGAAGAATGACTGGAGTCAGCAGCCATTGAAAGGAAGCAGAAAGTGAAGCAAAGAAACGATCATTCAGAGAAAAATCCAGAGCAAGATGAAAGTCAGAACGAGCAGATCTGGTTTAGAATGAAATTTCCTATGAGGATCAGGAGCAAAAGCAGGCATGGCACTAGATTAGAGGTAGACAACAGAGCATAAAATTTCCACAGAAAATAACCGTGATATTAGAGGAGATTATAAGGCCCAGAAGCCATTGAAGGAATGGACTTTGACATAAGAGATGGTGAATTTTCTTCTGGAATCATAGAATCCTTACAGTGCAGATAGAGGCCTTTTGGCCCATCAAGTCTACACCAACCTTCCGGAGAGCACCCCACCCAGACCCACCCTATACCCGTAACCCCACATTTACCATGGCTAACCCACTAGCCTGCATATACCTGGAAACTACAGGGCAATTTAGAATGGCCAATCCACCTAATCTGCACATCTTTGGACTTTGGGAGGAAACTGAACACCAGACAGAAACTCACACAGATTTGGGAGAACGTGCAAACACCACACAGTCACACAAGGTGGAATCGAGCTCAGATCCCTGGCACTGTGAGACAGCAGTTCTAACCACTTAACCACTGTGTTGCCGATCTAGAATCCACATATCTAAAAAGAATATCTGAGAGACAAACACCACATTGACGTTCAATCAGAAGCTTAGTGTGTGTGTAAACTATGTCTTGTTCCATATATTATTAATTCACAGTCAATACTTATAAACTTTAGACACATTAAATGTATTAAAATGCTGAAGAAGAGCCATGTAAAAATCAAAATGTTAATTCTATTTTTTTCTCCACATACACCACCAGACTTGCTGAGTTTCTCCAGCATTCCCTGTGTTTGCATTATCTAACTTAAACACAAGGGAAAATGTGTGAAGCACTATCAAATTACATTGAAATTACTAATGATAAATGTCAAATATTTCTTTCTCCCTAATTCTGTTGCATTTTTCAGGTGTATTCAGAAAGCATTAGAAAACTTTATGAAAAACAAACCAAAGAATTCTTTGATCTGGTGAAGTTTAAGTTAACCGGAATAAAAGAAGGCATGAGATTCAGTAAGTATGAGTGGCAAACTACAAAACAGGAAACTCGTTTTTGTATAGCTGCGGGGTAAATCACACAAAAAGTATTTTACTTATGATTAACCTAGGTTCCAAAATTCAGTTGTGATTCTTAGCTGCAAATTTAGCTTGTATCTGTAAAGCCATTTCTGTGAAGTAGACACTTCCTTGTAATTGTTCCTTGTTATAAACCTCTCAGGTCATTCACAGGCCAAGTATTATTGTTTGTAAATTACTGTTTCCAGGCCGTGATTGCTTTTCTCATTTTTTCTTTATTAACGGTAGTTTTGGTTATGAAGAAAATTGTGATTCATTGTCTTCAGAAAGTTTTGATAGATACATGTTACACACAAGAATTAGTTTACATAATGGATTTTTCTGTGGGTCTGAAGGTATATTGATGAAAGTATAGTTCTGAAAAAATGAAGAAATTGCAAAATGGGAGGAGTCTATTTTTGGTACAGTGGAGAAATGATTCATCTTAGCCTTCCCCTAAGGTTACCACCATCATATTTGCCAGCCTGTCCACATGATATGAAGAACCAGATGCAGGAAAGATGAACAATAAATGATGACTCAGAGGCATTCACCACCTGTGAAACAATTTTTAAAAAAACGGTGGGCTGTATTTTTCACTCCTGAGTGTTGATAGCTTGAGTTGGGAAATTTCCCAGACTTCTGCTTCTGTCTTGGTGTAAAAATGTCCAAAATGGTGTAATTTCTATTGAGGAAATTGGCGACAGGAGTTCAGGTAAATGATGAAGTCAGACCGGCCGGTCCCAGATGAAGATTGAAGGTGGTTACAAGGGCCTGTAAGTGCTGAGGCTAGCTGTTTAGAAAGCCTGCCTTAGCTCTCTTTGACTTTGTCCAAGCTGCTTTTTTAAAGCTTGCACCCTCTAGCTTTCACCACCAACCCCCCACAAACATTCCCCACATCCATACGTGTTCAACCCATATTTCCCTCAACCTGTTCCCTATGCCCATACATGCCAGCATATATAAACTCATGGTTTGATGGTGAAATCTCCATGCCCACATATGTCAACTCATACCAACCATACCTCCTCATCACTCACTGCCATGGCCCCTTGTCACCTCCAATGGAAAATTTCCTGACTATCCACTATGGGCAGACCTGGGAGCAATGATGACACAAAATAAAGTTCTAAATACCTATCACGGACTATACTTTATAAAAAGAACTCTCATTCATTAAAGGCCATTCAATACACTAAATCCCCTCAAGTCCTTAATTGGTTATTAAAACAAACTTTTATATTAATGATCCCATACCAAACAGCTGATTCTTTAATTACCTCTTTGAGCTATCACTTAGACTTGGAATTTACAGCACATGTCTTCTATTGTGATGATAGATTGGAGAAACCACTAAAGATCTAATAATGCCATTATGATAGCACTCAAGGTTAAGTCAACAACCATCTATCAAACTGTTATTGTACCTACCTCCAAGGCTCATGTCCCACCACTCTAACTGTTGCCTGCACAGCATCTTCACTCAGTCGCTGTCATGCACCCCAATCATGATACCACTAATCCTGCATGTCCTCTATGCTACCTAATCACTCACTCAGGAGACTTCCTCACCTGAACCAAAATTGACAGCTGTGCCACCCACTTTCATCTCACTTAATACCCCTCTTGCTCTCATTCCAGGAAGAAAATAGCCCCCAGTAGTGCAGAAAGTTTCAAGATAGGTGGTGGGCTGTGTGACATTCAATTTTTCACTCTTATGTACATATCATCCTGACTCTGACCATTCCCCAGCTGAATGGTTGACTGACTGTTTCCAAGCCCCTGATTGATATTAGCCCTTGACCTACTGTGTTGATATGCCCTGAGCAAAGGCTAAGGCCTACCTACTAACAACCATACAAGGTTCCTTACTTTATGTGTGTGCTAAACGGCAAGCAAGACAGAAGTAAGATGACCCTCGTCTCTCTAGGTAAGGGGGGCAAGCAACACAAAGGATGGAGGCTGTGATCATCCAGATAGGCTCAGAGTGAGTGTATAATATGACAGTGAGCAAAAGCCCTAGAGGTTCAGCCTGATGCAGTCCATTAGCTGAGTCATGGCCCTGAGTGCAGTGTCCTTACTGCAACGTTACAGTGATAGTTGTCAGTCCAGTTTGGAAGTGCAGAAGCATGCTATACGTGGGTCAGAGATATGCCATGAGCCTTCTTAGAGGATGACATTGTCCATGGATATGGGTTGTGTGTGACCAGAATCCATGGAGTATGCTCTGAGGTGTTGCAGTCCAGTGTCCAACATGGAGGTCCTTTGGAGAAAGCAGTGAACTCATAACCTCAGGTACTCTGGTTTCCATGTCAAGTTTTCTCAATGTCTAGCTTGTTTGATGAGTTTGTTGAGATAGAAATCTGAATATTCGTGAGGTGAGTTTGACTATCAACAAGGCATCTAACAAGCAATAATTCTGTTAATTGGGAACTCACTGCCAATGAGAAACTTGCCATGGCAGTCGTGAAAAGCACAAATGATAGACAAAGATTATCTTGATGTCAGGATTGGCTTTTTCAGAATTCCTGTCTAATTCTGCCACAAATTCTGTCAAACGCCTTGTTATTCAGACTCCTACAATTTCCACCAAATATCTTGTTTTCATGTTGATCATCTGTTATGTTTGTTGACAGTACTACCACATTAAATGGAATAGATTTAGAACAGATCTAGCAACTTAAACCTCATTCCGCACAGCATTAACAGTATACAATAGACAGAGATAAGCAATCCCACAATCAGCAGATGAAATCAAAGCTCCTGTCCTGCCACATCCAGTCTATGGTGGTGGTCTATACAATACATAGCAGGGGAAGGAGTATTTGCAGAGGGCTGTTGAGACTGAGTCATTAGAAATATCCAAGGCTGAGATAGACAGATTTCTAATCAGTAAGGGAATCAAGGGTTATGGGAATAAAGATTATCAGATCAGCCATGATCACATTGAATGGCAGAGCAGACATGATGGGCTGAATGGCCAATTTCTGCTTCTGCATTTTATAGTCTTATGCAGTGAAGCATAGTGATGTATCAGGAGAGAGTGATGAATGCTCATGTGATGGTGACAGTGTCTTGGGCGAGGGGACTATTGGGAAGCAACAAGGAGAATGAGCATAGTGATCAGTTAATGGAGATGAACACTGGGACTACAGCAAAGACAGAGGATGGTAAGCAGGCATGCACAGTTGTTCCTGTCCGGCAGCCGGCGTTAGAAGGAAACATTTAATGTAAAATCCCTGATTTCTTTTTTTAATTTTGTGTGCTACGATTTTCAGGAATTCAGGAAAGTTTTGAAAAGCTGACTGCTTCTACATCCAACCTACAGAAAACACTTTTCAGAAATTCTTTATATGAGCATTTAGGATCAGAAACTGACATTGCAGATCGTGGAATGATGGACAAGGTGCAGCAACAATCTCTGTTCTTATTTCTTAGTTTCATGTAATAATATGTTAGATTCAGTCCGTGAAGGTAGCTTTAAAAAATTGATATCCTAAAATAATGCATTGGTACAAAGAATGTTGGGAGGTCTAACTATGCAGTGGATATTGTCCCTACCTTTGAGTCATGAACTCCAGATTATGCTACTTCTCTAGGAGATGATTGCCAAGGAAGGTGAATGCACGGAGTGGCCAAATAAGTTAATAATCAGTTGTGAATGCTTCTCACTCTTGCAATGGCAAATAATACCATCAGGACTGATACTTGGTAGCTACATGATGGAAAATAAGTTGGAGCCTCTACCATCACCTTCCATTGCTTCAGACTAAAACAAGTAATTTGTTGTAACAAATAATAAGTGCATATTGCCACAGAAACCCTGACTCCCTTAGTGTTTTGTAATACACACCGCACAGAGAATGTTGAAATGTCACCTCTTTATTTGTAACATTGTAATAAGGTATTTGTGAAATAGCATTAATAATCAAATGATTGCTTCAATTTTTGCTGATAGTCCTAAACTTCTTGATATATTTATTAAAGATTGCAATGCAATTTAAGAAATCCTAAGACAAAATTACTTACAAGTTATTGTGATATGTTAGATCTTATATGCATGTTATATAGACTAGTGGATCTCAAGATATATCAATGAGAATTTTATAATGTAACCCCAATATCATTTCCATCCTCCAAATTGGAAATTACTTCTTTGTGATTTTTGTTTACCCTTGGTTGTGCTGATTAAATAATCACCATTTATCATTGGGACTAGAATTGCTTTTTTCCTTTGAATGAAGGAACAGTTGGTGGAAGAGGAACAAGAACAGTACCCTCAACAACAGAGATGAGCAGTAAGTGGGCCTGTTAGTAGGCAGTAGTTAAGGCAACCTCTTAGAAAGCCATAGCCAGCTCAGAGGAACCGTGGACCAAGAGTCAGTTCCTGAACATTTCTGAGGAAGACTACATCAAGAGGTTGTGCTCCGTCAAGCAGGCTGTTGATCCTCTATGCTGACTCTTGCAGTAGTTCTTGCTGCCTTCTGAACCAGGAGGTCATATTTTGCCCTTGAATGCCGAAATCAGAAACAAACCTACATTACAGCACCTAATGATGACATTTGAAGATGTGGAAACACTTTACATTTATCTTTCTCTGGGGAAATTTTATAGAGCTGAAGGGGCCCCAGCTACCAGGTGGAGAGCTGCAAGTGACATATATTGAGATAACAAGGTGTAGAGCTGCATGAACACACCAGGCCAAGCAGCATCAGCGTAGCAGGAAAGCTGACGTTTCAGGCTAGACCCTTCTTCAGAAAAATTTTCTGAAGAAGGGTCTAGGCCTGAAACGTCAGCTTTCCTGCTCCTCTGATGCTGCTTGGCCTGGTGTGTTCATGCAGCTCTACACCTTGTTATCTCAGATTCTCCAGCATCTGCAGT